TCTCTCTCTCTCTCTCTCTCTCTCTCTCTCTCTCTCTCTCTCTCTCTCTCTGTGTGTGTGTGTGTGTGTGTGTGTGTGTGTGTGTGTGTGTGCTTCTACTCCTACCGCTTCCAGTTTCCACTTCACCACTTGTTTCGTTTCCACTTCCCATCTCCTTCTTCCCCTCCTATTTTTCCCTCTCACACCGCCATGTTCTCCTGGCGAACATGTCAGCAAGCGATGAAAAGGAGGACGACTCGCGGGAAGAACAGGAGAAGAAAAAGAAGAATAAGAAGAATAGTGAAAATAGTGATAAACAGAGGCCATTGACTGTCCTTCGAAGAAGAAGAAGACGAAGAAGAAGAAGAAGAAGAAGAAGGAAAAGAATTATAAAAAAATACGAAATGTCGAAAATCATAGCCCGCCTTTCATAAAAGGTCGACAGAAAACAGCTAGAAATTGAACTCGCAGGTAAGGGAGGGGGGTTACAGGCACTCACCATCAAACTTTGATGCGAGCGCAGAGGTAGGAAGGAGATCGTGGGATGTCGACGTAACCCTTTCTCCTCCTCGACCTGGACGGCTCTGTTCCGCAATTACCTTGTCCTTCTCCCTCTCAGCGTTGTCGAAGCCTCTGGAGGTGGTGAAACACTCTCCAAGTTGCAGACAACATACCCTCCCTCTGTGCCTCCTCCTCCCCTTTCTCCTGTCCTCCTCACACACTGAAAAATTCGGAGCCTGGACAGATGACAAGCCCGATGAAGAATGGCTGGCGTCAACAACGGATAGCGCACATGCAGACCGACCCGAACGCGGGGTCCACAACAACAGCTGGGAAAACACAACGGGAATGGCGGCTTCCAATTCGACCGGAGAGGACTGAAGGCCCACTGAACGGAATCAAGCCTCACCGCAGGGCCTTGGAGATGTGAAACGGCTCCCCTGCTCCCACCACTTGGGCTTCTGTTTTGTTCTTCTTTGTTTTTGTTTTTGTTTTTTTTAAATCTCAACCACTCGTAGACCTTATATTGCAAAATCCAGTTTAGCTTGTGGCGTCGGCCGAACTGAATACCGATGATGACCTCAATTGAAATCCAACAGTACCAGGAGCACTGAATACCTAGACTCTGGCAACTCGCCGAAACAAAAGTATCAACTTTATCTTTTTGAAACGTAGTGTAAACCAGACCGTCTAATTCGACGACCGGATGACACGCATAAATCGAGAAATGATCCGACCCGTGTTCCCTGTTTTTTAGTTGGACGACGTGTGTTCTCCAATTCTTTTATTTTTCTTTCTCGAAAGACGTATCTTGTGAAGCTGTGCCACGACACAACGTCCCCTGCTCACACCAGGAGTTTTTTTACTTATGTCGGGAAAGAATTGCGGCCAGATGCATGCAGGTGTGGCCGATAGTACAGTCTGTTGCATTCTGTTCTGGAAAGTGCAAGCGTCAAAACAACTTCATTTCATTTCGAGTATCATATGAACGAGGCCGGGGACCTCACAATTCAACCCAGAGTTATCCCTGCAGCATCAGCCGAGTTCCAAAAGACTACATACCATTCCTGAAACTGTTTTATCTTTACTCAAGATGCAAGGAATGCCTACCGTACTATCTACTACCGGGGTTAGGGTCTCGTTAGACACTCCTAAAAGTACCTGTTTTTAGGGTTGGGTCTTCGTTGCAGGCAATCCTAAATCCAATTTGGAGATCGAAAATGTGAAAACGGCGTTAGGACGAGTCCTAAAGGATTTACGATTCCCCAGGCAAAATCTTCCTAAATTTTCCAGTAGCCCCCGACCTACTGAAAAATTTAGGATTCCCGCGTTTCACGGACTCGTTGCGTCGCGCACATGGCACCGTCGACACGGGGTTGCTGGCCCAGGAGCGGTCCGTCGGCTGGGTGGTCGGACATCGGAGGTTTTCTGCGGGTCGACCGGGCAACAGCCACCAACGGTAGCCGTTGGCCGATGGGGTGGAGCGCGGGGGGCCGAGCGTGGGCGGGTGGGCGTCCGTAGTGGACCGTTGGCTCGGCTGCGGGTAGCGGAGGAGGACGACGACGTGCACAGGACGACATACGGAGGCACTTCGGGCAGTGCGCGGGCGGCAACGGTCGATTTTTGAATCGCAGGCAGGCACCTTTGTCGTATTCTCTGGTGGTTGTCGGCATATGAAGGTCCAGCGGCCCAATCCACCAGCATGCCAGAAGATACTTCTGCAGTAGTCGCGTGGAAGGGTGCCTCCTGAGGTGAAATTGATGGCAGACATGCAGAGGAGATTGCCTCTGCTGGTGCTCGCTGTGGTCGTCTTCCTCCATGTGTGTTTGTCGTGCCGGCCGTGGAAGCAACGTCGCAAGCGGAGGGCGTCAACGAAACGGCAGGCAGGGGAACGTCCGATGGCGGGCATGCAGGCACGCGCGGTTCTGGCTGCAGGTCAGGGCGGAAGACGACCTGCGACGGCGGAGCCTCCACGGCGGTACGACCCGTCCATGTACACCCATCTAGAGTCGTGGGAGACGCCACTGCCCCCGTCGGACGAGGAGGCCGAGACGGAAGAACTTCCAACGTTGCCTCTCGCCAGCGGGTCGACGCAGCTGTTGTCGCAGACGGTGCGAGCAGGCGGGTCGGCTAGCAGCGAAGGCGGCGAGTTCACCTCACTCCTGCAGCAAGGCTTGGGAGACGACGACGATGGAGGACTTGATCTCAGGTTCGGATTGTGTTCTGGCTGCGCTAGGGAGGCGAGCCGTACRTTCATCATYGACRYMGATCCTTCGCCACGTGGCCTTCAACATGCTGGAAGTGAGCATACGGAGCAGTCCACACTTCGTGGCGGTGCGTCCGTTACTGGCGGTGTCGGGCCATCGCCAGCAGCCCGGCAACATGGATCGATTGCACCGATCGATTGACAAGTACCTGGCCCGCACGCACTGGAGTCGCAACCGGGTCCCTGCGCATCCGAGTCGGTGGTGCACGTCCTTCGATGCCCAACCACACAACGCCGACCCAACCCGACCTGAGGGACGAGGGCGCCTACAGACCACCCGTGCGTCCAGGACCCACTGTGGAGAACATCACACGAGGAGTGTCAAACATGCGGGCACACAGCGATGGCGGCCACGACGATGGTGGTGGCAGTGACGATGCCGACGAAGGATTTAGAGAGGACGTGGAAGCAGGGGACGACGACGACAACATTCCTATTCGGCCTTTGGGGAAGACGGGTGGGAGGGGGAAAGGACGCAGCAGAGGTGCTGTTCGTGGTCGACCCGTTGGCCGTGGCGGCAGAGGTGGCGTCAGCGACGACGGCGGAAAGTTTGCGACGTACTGATCTCCGGACGACCAAATGCTCCTGGTGAGATGCAAGCGGGAGCAAGAGATGCACCTCGTCGGGCTGGGTCACAATTACAGGCGGATGCGGACCAAGGCGTGGAAGTGGGACGACATTGCGAAGCGCATGGCGAACGCAGGGAGGCCTAAAGACGCCGACGACTACATGAAGAAGTGGGACAATCTCTTCCAAAACTACAAGAAGATACTGAGGTTTCAGAATGCCAGCGGCTAGGCAGATTTATTCAGGCTATCGAATGAAGAAAGGAAGGAGCACAACTTCAAGTTCCGGATGGAGAGGGTGCTGTACAACGAGATCCACGCAGGCATGCTGGGGAACCATACAATTTTCCCTCCCAACGTCGCCGACACCGGCAGTCCGAACGGGGTGCAGCTGCCCAAGCGAGGAGCCTGGTGGGGAGTCTGTTGGTAGTGAGGCCGGTGGTGAAGGCTGCTCTGAAGAACGTTCTTCTGCGAGGGACTCCGACAACAACGCAGGCAGTGGGGCTGGAGGCGGGAAGCAGAAGAATGTGCGTCAACAGGCATTGGAGTCGATCGTTGATGCCATGGACCGCCATGGGGAACTGATGTCGGCGACGATCGATTCGTCAAGCAAGCGGCCATGCAGCATATTCACGAGGCAATGCGACATACTCGAGCAGGAAGTTGCGAGAGGCAGTTAACGGAGACCCAAAATTTCAGCGTTTTTTGAATGCTATTTATAAGAAAAAATTGCAGTTCAAAAAACGCACTATGCTGCGTCCGATGAGACGCAAAGGATGATGTGCTACACGCTTACGGAGATCACTGCCGCCATCCGTGATCGGCCGCCGATGTAGGCCGTTCGATCGTGTGTTGATTGAAGTCCAGTCATTGCGTTCGTAGTTGGCTTAATTTTTTATTTTTATTTTTCGTTCACGGATTCTTCTATCGAGGAGCACAGTGGTAGACCGCATGGTGTATGTGTGTGTGTGTGTGTGTGTGTGTCTCGTCCACACAGTTGTGTGGGTAATGTTTTTCTTTTTTTTTTACTCATCGTTTTCGACGACCAGAGTGCATCGTCTACGTTTTGGTAGCTCGAGAACCACAGAGCCACGTCTGAAAGGGGGGGTGTGGTTTGGGGATTGTGGACGAGGGGGTCTGGAGTGGAAAGGGGTGGTTTGGTGGCTGCGAGGGGTAGGCGCGATGGGGTGGCCAGGGGTGAAGGTGGGTTCTCTTACTTTTGGTCCCTGGCTAGTGCATTAACGCATGTCGCCAGGGGCGTCGAAGGGTCTTTTCACGCCTTGGGGAGGATCATAATGACATGCCAGGATAGGCAGGGTGGTCGCACGTGGCACCATCGACGATGTCGTTTCCCGCCACAGAGAAGCGACGTCATGGTCGGTCCATCTGCTACGTTAACTTCAGTCGTGCGCATCCCAACCCGCATGGATGTCGCCCGCACTAGGGTGTCTCCAGTACAGAAGCCCGCCGCGCCTGCTGCACACCGACCACAACGACGCGGGAGTAGTACAAGCCTGCTCGCCGCGGATAAATGTCGCCTGCTCCCCGCGGACATCTTTAGTGTCGCGGAGGACCACCCCCAATGCCATTGTAGCCATCTCGTCACGTGGAGGACCTTCGCTGGAGTCGTCGTCCTTCTGTCGTACACGTGGACGTCGGTCGTCAATCATTTCGCCGCGGAGCACTCTCACCGTCGCTCTTTTATTCTTTTCGCCGTCAATCTTTTCGCCGCGGAGCACCTCGCCGGGGTCATCGTCCTTCTGTCGTACACGTGTACGTCATCGTTTTCTTCCCGCGGAGGAGAGATCTTTTGCGTCGTAGGGGTATTCGTCCTCGTCACACTACAGTAGCACGGGAGACATTTTTCTCGCCAGATCGGTGGGACTTCAAACGGCGGTCGACGAAGCACTTCCCGCTCATCCGATCGGACCGCCAAGCTCGCCTGGTCCCGACGAAGCATGTCTACGCGAGGGAAGGGCAGGGAAGAGGTCGGCGGCATGTCCCGAAGGCGAAGAGGGTGCGTTTGGATGATGCGCCAGCAAGTGTGCCTCCTCGTCGAGCGCAAGGTTGGGCAGCAGCAGCGGAAGGGGACTACGACGACGACTTCACGATGGAGGAAGAGTAGGCAGAGGCGACCACGTCTGCAGTACGGGAGAGTGCTCGGCAGCGCTCTTCTGATCAGAGCGCTTCCAAGAGGATGCTCACCCCTCCACCCGAGGCGCGGCAATTGTGTGTCCGTGAAACGCGGACAGAGAAGGTTGTCGTCGTCGATCTGGGCGGCGGTGATGACGAGCCCTTGGATAAACGTCGCCAGAGCACTCTTACACAAGGCACCCTAGCGCCGGCGGCAACGGCAAGCGCTGCGCTAGACGAAAGGCGACTTACGGGTAGATTGTCAGCCACGTCGTCTCAGCCACGTCAGCGCAACCCGGGTGATGACGGAGGGTCCGTCCAACGCGGCGGGGGGGGGGAAGTCCTGGCAGACGCGCGCGCAGTTGGGGGCGAGCCGACAGGTGCTCCGGGTGTGGGTGCTTCAAGCACTGTGGCCCCCGTTGCAACGGCGAGAGAGGAGGCAACAGTTGTGGCGATGGCAAGAGAGGAGGCGTGTGGCGAGAACAAAACTGATCGGAAGGGCAGTGAGTCTGGTTCAAGCCGGGTACGTAGGGGAGTGATGACGAAAGACCTCATCGATCGTGTCGTGCTTTGGGTTGATGACAAAGCTTTCTGGACGACGGGGGAGGGGCGAAGACTATACAACATCGTCCACGAAACGAGAGAGTGTTTTGTCGCCATCGCCAGCGGCCTTCCAACACTTGTCGTCCATCAGAGCATCGTTCTGCCCAAATCCAACACGAGGGTAGCTAGGATCGCCGACCCATCACAGCTGCAGCGTGCGGCTGCAGTGGAGAACATTGCTCTGCGCATCTTGCACAGCTAACCGCCCACGGGGATATAATGTGGCTTTCCAGTAGTCGCTCGAGTTCGTAGCGACGGACATTGCGTGTGCAATGTGGTACAGCGAGGAGTGGTGCAACGTCATCAGTGCAGCGGTATGCGCGCACACGATAGATCTGTCCATGGACTTGCCACTATCATTCGCCGGCACCAACATCGAGGACAGATCTGACGACGACATGGCAGCGTACCAGGAGTTCACCGTCATCTACATCGCGCATGCATTCCGCTCGGCGGTACAAATGGGTGCGCATATCGATGGCGATTTCATTTCGCGAACCTGCTGGCGAAGCCCACACTCGTCGCGTCCATGCATCGCTCCTTCGATCATCGACGATTCGTCGTCCGCGCCGCAAAAGTCGTCACGGAGAGGCTTGGGAAGGCGAACGCTACGTTTGGAGAGTACCCCGACTACATCCTTGGATGGGCACCCTGCGGCATTGGTTTCAAGCACCACGCGAGCATAATGGGGTTGGAGGATGCGAAGAAGCTAGATTGGTTGGGTTCGGCCCCCCCCGATGATGATAACAACGACGATGAAAAAGATGGCGTGTAGGGGGTGCGGGGGGGGGGGCGGCGCTTGTGTGAACGAGGGCGCATGTACACGTGGTTGGTTGTGATGGGTTTCACTGTGGTTGGACCATTGTGCAGTGCGCACCTATTTAGTGTGTCGGTCGGAGCGATTCCCCAGAATCGTCGTCGATTGTGCAGATGTTTCGTGTGGCGGTCGTGGCATAGCGACGGGTTGATTGATTTCAATCGTGTATTTTGCATTTAGTGTAGCTATTTAATGTATCGGTCGTTGGAGTCGACGACGGGTTCATTGATTTCATTCCTGTATTGTGTTTTTATCATCGCAGTTCGCTGCGCAAGAACTTCATAGCGCTTTTAGTGCACCTTTTTTTTCTACCATGTGTCCTCTGTTCTCGTCTCTTCGCGGAATGATTCAAAGATGATTGCCTCCTATGTCTAAGGCGTGACTCAGGGATCTGACATACGGGTTTTGTCTGTATGTTTCAATTAGTAGAACTACAATGAACATGAGGTCATCGAAACATATTGATGGACCAACCCATACATTAGATGAAAAACTTTATTGGCATCGTTTTCTTGACAAATGTCCTTCACTTAGCGAGAGGCGAAACTTATATTTTTCGACCACATCAGGAGTAGGGCATAATGATTTGGGCAAATCAACACAGCAAGTCAAATTTTGTCAAGGTCGATCATGCGCCGCGATGATATTCTTCGCCATGCTGAACCGATTGAGTTTGAATATAGTGATTTTTTTAGTGGACTGTTTATTTCTGCGACAACATCATTTGTCGATGATTTGGGTTATATGACAATCTTCCGGTACGTATATTTTTTCTATTTATGAGAATGTTTGTCACAATAACTCATTATATGTAAAAGAGACTATGATTATTTGTAGGTTTTACGCTTAGTTGAGACCGTCTTGGTCGACCGACGTGTGTTCTGGTACCTAAGAGATCAGGGCCTTAAGGGAAGGACGATGTCAAGGTTCAATACGCGTTTTTAACAAAACATACCTATGCTACAACGAATCGAGCAAATGCCATTAGCTGATCTACCTCTACGATTGCATGTAAAAAATCTCGTACGTGGGTCGGTAGCTCGGTAGGGATACGTCCCTAAGGGTGGTGACAACCCCTCAGTGAACGTAAGTTGCCTTGCATAAACCTATCCTGTCGTAGGAGACCCCGAGAAGTACGGCTTACGCACTCGGCTAGTGCGGTATGGTGACAACGCAACTCCGTCCGTCTTGCGGTTCAAGGGATTATTTATGCGTTGTTCCCAAGTTGTCTCTTGTTGTGTTTTCTTTTATTCCTGGGTGATGTGCCTGGGAGGGCTCTCACCTTTCGCAAAAAAAGCAGGAGCTGTTGCGCTCGACAACGAATTTTTACAATTTCCTTGGAAAATGAAAAAAATAAAAATAAAATTTAAGAGCACCTCTGGAGGTGGTCTCAAAAGGGGTACTCTGATAGCCTCGCAAACCGCTGACATTTGGCTCACTGTAAAAAAGGAACTGGGAGGACCCATTGTGATCAAAAATCTACCTCAAAATTTGAGAATTTACGTTAGAAGGTCCATGTGTGAGTAAGGTGGGAGAAAGTACACCCAAAATGTTTTTTGTCTTTTTGCATTTGGTGAGTGGTGTGGACAGTCATGTAATCATGGATTAGCAAACGCCACATAGTTGTCCACGAAAGAACCCTCTGCAAGCCTCGTGAGTTTTTCGTCCTTGAGTTCAAGGGCCAGCCTGTGGTGGCCCTTGAGGTTCAAGGGTTAGCAATTGTGTTAGAGAATGTGGAAAAGCTCAGGGCCGTTATCAGGGTTTGGTGGAATGAAGCAAAAGTTTCGAGTGTTTTCAAGTGGTGTCGAATAAGACCTTATGATGAGACTGACAGTCAAGGCATACTCACAAAAGGACCTGATAACCTAAGTTTCCAAATTTCGAGGCAGAATTCCAATCGCACTGGTTCTCTCGATTCCCTTTTGTACTTCTTAGTGAACCAAACGTGAGCGGTCTGCGAGGCCGCGGGAGTACCGTTTTTTAGACCACCTCAAGAGGTGGTCTCAATTTTTTTTTTGGACTTTTTCATTTTCCAAAGAAATTGTAAAAATTGTGCATGAGGAAGACAACCCCCTTGTTATTTCAACATTGAAAAGAAAGGGAAAATTGCATCTGCACTACTAGCTACACCTAGTCCCAGGACTCTCAGCGCCAACTTGTGTTTATACCCAGAAAATGGCTGGTGGAAATTGTTTGCATGCCCATGATCGAGGTCGACCCAGGTTGGTACCGCAAAATTGCAGTTATAACTAACCACCGCAATGCACAAATTATGGACTTACCCAGGCAAAATTATGGCCATACCCGGGACCTGAGGAGGAGGGGCCGAATTGTTCTTATACCTTGCTACCTGGATGGCCGAAATTATACTCATACCCAGTAGTCGTTGGGCCACAACGGTCTACTTGGCGGGCGTAAGCATAATTTCATTCTCTGAATCCAGGACCTGCGGGATTGGGTACACCTACAATTTCACACAGGGGGAAAACTCGGTGATATGCAAAGTTGAACGCCCTCACAATATAGATGCAAGTTCATGCTGGGACTGGGTATAGTGGGTATTCCCATCCTTAAGTGGGATACAAATGCAATTGTACAAAAAAAAAGGTTTTCTATTTTTTGGGGAAAAATTGCATATGTACCCCACATAAAGATGGGAATACCGGCTATACCCAGTCCCAGTGCCAACTTGCGTCTATACCCAGAAAACGGCTGGTGGAAATTGTTTGCATGCCCAAGACTGAGGTGGACCCAGGTTGGTACCTCAAAAGTGCAGTTATACCCAACTACTGGAATGCACAAATTATGGGCATACCCAGGCAAAATTATGCACATACCTGGGACCTGAGGAGGCGCGACCAAATTGTTCATATAACCTGCTACCGGATGGCTGAAATTATGCCAACAGTCGTTGGGCCACAACAGTCTACTTGGTGGGCATGAGCGTAATTTGGTGCTTCGAATCCATGGCCTGCGGGATTGGGTACATCTAGAATTTTGCACAGGGGAAAATGTGGGTACTATGCAAAGTTGAACAGACTCTGGGTATAGATGCAAGTTGGCACTGGGACTGGATACAGCCTGTATTCCCATCTTTAAGTGGGGTACAAATCCTTTTTTTTTTTGGGTGGGGTGTTGTGTGACTACATCCACTTGGATTGGCATTCAACTGAGTGGGTCGCGACTCTGTCCTTTCTGGATTGACTTACCGTGAGGGCACAGGTATGCAACCCATAGTTTGTTTCGTTGATGTGGTTGGGGAAGGGTAAGGTAGTGATTATGCTGTGTGTTCGCAGCCCTTAGGCTGCGGTATAGTGTGCTTCCGCGTTTGTGTCAAGGTGTCGCATTTTCGGTCGCGGGCGACCGAGACGCAAAGTGGGTTCTTAGGGGGCAAAAAAAATTAGGGGACCGGTCCTTGGCAAAATTGCGGACTACCTGCAGCTAGCTCTTCTAGAACCGGGACTTGTGGAAAAAGGAAGGACCGGTCGTCGGGTGGAAGTGGACCCCAAAAAGAAATGGGGGGCGTTGGACCGGTCCCCGGGTAGAAGCGGACCCCAAAAAGAAGTGAGGGCAAAAAGAAGTGAGGGCATGTGAAGTGCAAAAGGGCCCTCAGGCCTAGGCATTGAGCCCCGTCTTCTCAAAACAGGGAGGTCAGGCACAATGAAATAGGCGTTTTGCAAGAGGCAACTTTGACGATTTTCTGTGCTCGGACGAACATGCACAAAAATCTGAAATTTTGAGAATCCATAGATGAGGTCATGTTCTTTCCAGAAATAATAATAGAACATTTACAAAAAATCATTTACACTGCGAAACAATCGCCGCGCCGATTCGACACATTTTTCATTTTTGCCACTCAACCATGCCTGGGCCAACTAAAAAAATATTCCAAATTCAGTGAGCTTTCACGCTCAGAAGAATGCGTGAAAAAACCTGAAAATTGGAATACTCGTGGATTTTGTTGTGATCTTTCCAGGAAAAACGCTAAATAAATTAAAAAAAAATCATTCCAACTGCAAAATAGATCGCGGCCGCAATTTGACCCATATTTCAATTTTGCCATTCAGTATCTCTCTCTCTCTCTCTCTCTCTCTCTCTCTCTCTCTCTCTCGGAACAAAACTCTCTCTCTCTCTCTCTCTCTCTCTCTCTCTCTCTCTCTCTCTCTCTCTCTAGAGTAGTCCCTGCCCCCCCCCTCTCTCTCTCTCTCTCTCTCTCTCTCTCTCTCTCTCTCTCTCTCTCTCTCTCTCTCTCTCTCTCTCTCTCTCTCTCTCTCTCTCTCTCTCTCTCTCTCTCTCTCTCTCTCTCACTATACACCAGAACACGTCTGAATTGACCTAAGCGGGTGAATCCGATCCCGTGGCAGCTGTGCTAGGTTCCACTTCACCTCCGTATGATGACGAGCGCCATCCTTAATTGCCCACCTAAGCACCCGTGAAGGGCATCGACCTTCTCCATCTCCGTCGTTAATCGGGAAGAGCGAAAGGAGTGGTCCCTTTCGAAAACATTGCTTTTCGTAGCCTCGCCTCAGACAGACCAAAGCATGGGCAGGGGATCTGCACTGGGCGTCGCATCGTGTTCTGCGCGGCAAGTACACACGTCGATTGAAATGCGTCGAGCGGCGGGAGTAGCAGGCCAACCCAGAAGGTAAACAGCGCGGGAAGGGCATCGCAATACAGCATTGGGCGGGAAGGTGATTGAAATGATAACGGGGGAATCGAGTGCGAAAATTAATTTAAACGTACTGAAGGAATAGCGGGTGGAGGAATTCAAATTTTAAAATGCACGAAAGGAAATTCGGGACGTTGAATTATCCGTAAGTCGTCACGCTGGATAATGCGAAAGTCATGTCCACTTGGGCAAGGGACAGTAAGGACGCCCAATGGGACGCCAAGAGGTTGGAGCGGGGCTTCCAAGGCTGAGTGGTATAACCTGGGTTATGCCCGTCTTCACTCAAATAGAACCCACGGTCACGGTAGCTGTAGTTGGGTCGAGTTGCAGTCTGGATACAGAATGACCGTGCGTTTTGTTCGGATGAAGACGGATGACCAGCCCAGTCATAATGACAGTGCGGTATTTGCGGTTGAAGATGGGTGGGCATGGCATGACAAGCCCATTCAAAGAAAACATCAATTCGCAGCCCTAAGGCTGCGGTATAGTGTTTCCGCGTCTGTGTCAAGGTGTCGCATTTTCGGTGGCGGGCGACCAGGACGCAAAGTGGGTTCTTAGGGGGCAAAAATTTTTTGGGGACCGGTCCTTAGCAAAATTGCAGACTACCTACAGCTAGCTCTTCTAGAACCGGGACTTTTGGAAAAAGAAAGGACCGGTCCTCAGGTGGAAGTGGACCCCAAAAAGAAGTAGGGGGCGTTGGACCGGTCCCCGGGTAGAAGCGGACCCCAAAAAGAAGTGTGGGCATGTGAACTGCAAAAGGGCCCTCAGGCCCAGGCATTCAGCCCCGTCTTCTCAAAACAGGGAGGTCAGGCACAACGAAATAGACGTTTTGCAAGAGGCCACTTTAACGATTTTCTGTGCTCGGACGAACATGCACAAAAATCTGAAATTTTGAGAATCCATAGATGAGGTCGTGTTTTTTCCAGAAATAATAATAGAACATTTACAAAAAATCATTTACACTGTGAAATAATCGCCGCGCCGATTCGGCACATTTTCCATTTTTGCCACTCAGCCATGCACGGGCCAATTTAAAAAGTACTCCAAATTCAGTGAGCTTTCACGCTCAGAAGAATGCGTGAAAAAACCTGAAAATTGGAATACTCGTGGATTTTGTTGTGATCTTTCCAAAAAAAAAACGCTGAATAAATTTTTAAAAATCATTCTAACTGCAAAATAGATCGCGGCCGCAATTTGACCCATATTTCAATTTTGCCATTCAGTCTCTCTCTCTCTCTCTCTCCCTCTCTCTAGAGTAGTGCCCGCCCCCCCCTCTCTCTCTCTCTCTGGTAGGCC